TGTGTGTGTGTGTGTGTGTGTGTGTGTGTGTGTGTGTGATGTGTGTGTGTGAGTGCGAAAATTAATGTAATGTGCATTAATACCCCATTGTAACACCGGCGCTGATTATCTGGCCTAACCCGAGCTGAGAGGAGTGTAACAAAGTGAAGCCAGAGGGCTCGTGGCTCGTAAATACCAGGTGAAACTAGTACCCTGGACGCCGCTACCGGCGCGAGGAGCGTAATTACAATTGTTGGACATACTACTGTCCAGGTCACAGAATTCTACACTTATAGAACTGGCACTGTACCACGTGACCTGTGAGGAATTGAAGACCGAAAACAATGGCGTCTTGAGGGCAAGATTTATCGTTTTCGGAAATAACCCTATAGCTTTTAAAGCAAGAGCGGCCTTTACAAACGAGTGAAAAGTGGAACATTTACTGTCCAGTTTGTAATTTTGAGTTTCAGAATTCACTGTGCAACCTGAAGATTGGAATTAAGGTTTTAAATTGTTGTGTTCTTGGGTGCAACAACAGAAAAAGCAGACATTTTGCATACGCATATGGCCTACGTCATTTTTTAGTAGCAAAACTTGTTACAAGAAATTTGTTTTACACTTAACATATTTTTTCACTAGATCTAGATCTAGTTAATGTTCTCAAAACATGCGTTCAATAATTAGCTTTATGTCGCCAGCAGAAGTAGGAAAAAAAGGACGGACTTGCTTTTAAAAGAGATTTAGCTCCAGCTGTAAACTTTTTACAATCTGTAGAAACCGTTGACTGGGATTTAAAAAAAATATTGGGCTAGTATTTATTAAAGAATTTTCTTTAAAGAAATTTCTAGAATAATATAATACCAATGTGTACAAATGTTCGAAAATATACTCATCTGTTAAGACGAATTGATATAGATCTAAGTCATTGTGCAAAAGTAGGAGAATCTAGATCTAGATGTTCGATAGTTCAGTAGCCTAGATATTTGATAATAAGTTGCGCAACAAATTTTTGAACGCACGCTACAGTAGTAGTCGATAGCGTATTATTTTCATCCGAAACATTAATTTCCGCACCCATACACCCTTTTGGGCCTTTATAAGCACATGTAGTCCTACTTTAATTATGTAACTTTCATAATTGTTTTTGAAAGCATTTTCAATTCCTTTCACTTTCACTTCCCACGCGCGGGCACATATGATTATGATTACAATTTAAGATTCCAGATCTGACGAATGTTTTTATTAAATAGCGTATAATGCTGGGTTAGCCAAAGCATTGCAATGCGTGCTATTATCAATTATTGAATTGTAACGGACTTCAATTTGATCCGTAACAAGAGACCACTTATTTTTTTTTTATACGTGTTCATGAATGTGTGTTTGTTTACTGTGTGCGGGGATTAAAGATTAAAGATTCCAGATCTGTTTTAGTTTCAATTCCTCACAGCGAATCAGCGATCTCGAAGAGGGAGTTCCGCTTCTATAAGTGTAGAATTCTGTGGTCAAGGTTAGCATATCACCGCTACCCGCGCGAGAAGCATAATGATTACAAACTGGACGCCACCGCCCAGGGCGGCATCATGTGGGCCAGGGAACCTTAGAGTGGGGCATATTTATAACACCTTGCTGCCTCAAAATCAGTTAAGTCCCTAATTTGTAAGATCACGAAGAACGATATTGAGGAGCGTCTCTTACACGTTAATTATAAACGCGTGAGAGTGCTCAAAGATTTGGAGCGTTCAAAGCCCATACGTTCTTGGGAATTGGGGAAAGAAGATACAACCACCCAGAAGGTACCTATTGAAGTCTGAATGATCAAAGAGGGATCATTACGACGCTAGGGCCTAATATACCGAGGGTCCGAAGGTAGAGGAGCAGATTCTAGATCAGATTTAGCAGATTCTAGCATAGACCAGAGGAGAGACTAGCGTAGAAGCGTAGACTAGACGAGACCAGACTAGAGTACTGAGAGGACAAAGAGGTAGGAGCTAGACCAGGTTGGGTGAAGGGTAGTGACAATATTCTTGTACACTGCTAGATAGTCGTCTGTTCGACAAATGAAATAACCAGTGTTTCAAGAACTGGTAGTTACCCTTCTGTAGATTATAGGTCCCCGAAGTCCCCGAAGCTAGTAGCATATTTTGTAAACGTCATACATTTCATTGTTGTTGATGATTAAATAATTAAAAATATTACAGCGTGAAGTTTTCTTGTCATCTTTGACATAGCCTATACGATCACATGTCAGAGTGGTGTAACCAGTACAACAACACCCTTTTAATACTGTTACAGGGATACAACATCTCAGCAGAAAGACCGAGAATCTCGATCGATAAGAATTCGCCGCCCCACTCGGAAATCGGACCCGGTCTTCTGGATCGACAGCAAAGCATTTAACTGCTACACAACAGACGCCGGTGTGAATCAGTGAGTGAGAGAAGACATAACAAATTGATAGATAGATAGTTCCATGGAAAACCTTACATAATATCAAGTGTAGAAGTATAACCACCCCCGCTACACACAAAAGGAAAGTACAAAAGAAATTAATAAGAAAACAAAAACAAAAACAACCCCCAAAACAAACAAAACAAAGGAAAACCCC